ATATTTAACTGCTAAAAAGTATATAGAGATAAAAGATATCACAAGAGTATCAACATGAATGTTTTTATTTTTATTTCTATGTAATCAACATGTCCAGTAAATGATATTGCCTCGTTAGCATTTCTTTTTGAAAGTCTATCATGAATAAGTTATTTGTAACTTATTTTAAATGAGTCATTATAAAAAAAAAAAATGCTTACCTTGTGATATTTAATTAAGATGCCTAGAAAAATTATCCACAATACGGGAATAGGTTATTGGCCTCGATATTAATTGACGAAGGACGATAATAATTGAACCATAACTATCTTATAACATAAAGAAATAAATGAACGTAGAGATCAAAGAGGATAAAACGTGAGGATTTGAGAGTAACGAAAGTGGAAAATTAAAGAGAAATGTGAATTGTATGAATAAAAAGTTATTAATTTATAATTAACATAGATTGATGATTAGAAACATTTGTATAGATTTTTAACCTAAACTAAAAAGGGAAGAACAATTTTTACAAGACCAAATCCAAAGTTTATTTTCTTTAAATAGTTAAATAAACTTAAATATCTTAAATATTTTATGTCTTATATAAATTAATAAGAACATATCTCCTAAAAACCATTAGCCCGATTTATGTTTAGATGGTTTTGCATCAAAATAATTATTCTTTTTTCTTTTGAGTTGCTTGTATATTCTAATTGTTTTTTAGCAGCTTTTAGAATTTGATAGTATATGAGAGTTTAATGAGTTATTTTTTTAATTATTTTGTGCCAATATATATATATATATATATACACATACATATGCATATATTTAAATTTAAAAAAAAAAAAAAGGCGCGTAAACTGAAGATTGAATACGAAAATTCGGTTATAAAACGGTAATTTGCTAAAAGTTGAGAAGAAGAGATAGCAAAAGCGAAAGTAGCGGGAACAATTTCACAGAGAGCCGTACAACAGAAAGCACAGCTGCTGCCAACGTGTTGGGTTCTTCTCTTACCAAACATAAAACCTTTATATCATTTCTTAACCCAATTTTTCTTTCTTCTTCCAATTTTCCATTTTTAATTTTAGCTAGGGGGGAATCCAGAAATTCTTTTTCCTCCTTTTTGAAGAGTCACGCAGGACGATTCGATATTACACTGCCTACCTTTTGCTGGTTCTGCATGATTCTTCAAAATTTTGGGTTCTTCTCTTCACTATAAATTTTTAGGGGACAAGCCTCGTAAGGACGTTTTTCATGGTGAATTTCTAGTTGATTTTGTGAGGACATAGTTGTAATCAGTGCAATTTTTTCATTTTTTTCACATCTAGATTGCACATTCTTTCAATTTTTTAACCTGGATTTTAAGCCGGGACCAAGATATTTTTATTCTGAAGAAGCTAGAATTCCCTCGATTTTCTGTCTTGCAAGGAGCAAAATTTGGAAGGAATTTTGTGATCTTATATATATATAGTTTTCTTTCTGTTTATCTCTCCGGTAAGTAGTTTGGACCTATATATTCCCTTTTAATTCATTATCATCATCGATTAAATTTGGTTCTTAAAGAAGTTTCGCGTAAATATGGAATACCTTGCAGACATTCGTGTTTGGTCCGAAGATGGAGCAATTTCGGCAGATTGGAGAGGTGCTAGGAAG